GGAGTTACTGAGGAAGCAGTTCTACCCGATGGGATTCCTTAAAGATTGTTGGTACAAGTGGTACGGCTTGCGCTAAAGGGTCAATCAAACCGTTCAAGAATACACCACGGAGTTCCAACAGCAGGTGATGGTCCTCAACATTACGACAGAGGAATATTTCGTGTTTATGAAGTATATGGCAGGATTGAGCGATTTCATCCGAAAAGGAGATGAAGCTATTCACGGTGGAATCAATTGCAGAGGCGAGCGTGAAGGCTATTGCCCTCGAGGGCAAGCAAAAGAAGGGCAATGAGGCTAAGGGAGACTCCAAACAGACGAAAGGCGAGTCTAGTGGTTCTCAATCTAAGAAGGAGAAGAAGAAGGGTGATCCAGGGAAGGCAGGACTGATTTGTAGTCAGTGCGAGAAGACATGGCACACAGCTGATCGGTGCTGGGAGAAGTATCCTTATCTCAAGCCAAGAGGGTTGAAGAAGATAGAGGAGAAAAAGGAAGACATGATAGCTCAAGGTCCGAAAGAAGTCCCGGGGATGACAGAGCCCAACAACAGTCTCAACCTTATGACGGAGAAGCAGACCACGAAAGAGGACGATGACCCGAGAGAGCAACTCTTTGTTCTTAAGTTGCAAGTGAAGACCAGTTTGGTTGATGGCATTGTTGATTCGGGCAGCGAGAAGAATTTGATATCCGAGGCATTGGTTCAGATCTGAAGACGGTCAAGCATCAGAAGCCCTATCCATTGGGATGGATTCAGAAGGAGGAGAAACTGATTGTAGTTGATCAATGCACTGTCAGATTTGTGCTCCACGAGTCGTATATTGATGAGGTCACGTGTGACGTCGTTTCATTGGATGTTTGTCAGATTATACTGTTGACCCTATAGTTTTGATGATGTTTTCGTAAACAATTTATTAATAAGTTCTCTAGTGTTTTGTGTTTATGTTCTTTTTTCAGGTATTTCAACACACGTTAATCAAGCGTTAAAGATTCAAGTTCATTTGTGTGGATTTACCTAGGTATATGTTTAGTTTACTTACATATATTGTATGATTATATCTAAGCTCAATATATGTACACTTAACACGTTTTTTGACATTTCTATCATATAAATGATTTTTCATCAAACGTTGTTACAATAACTATTATCTCATGTTTACAGCTCTTTCGTACTTCATTATATACATATAATTTATGCATAATATATATATATATATATATATATATATATATGTGATTTGATATTTTTAACGAATTTTCAAAACTACCCCAAAACCTGTCATTTTGCCAATATCAGTTTTCGGTCGACCGATCCGGTCGACCGACAGTGGTTTTTTGAGCTCATGCTCGCGGTCGACCGCACCGGTCGACCGAGAGAATATTCGGTCGACCGAAAATTTCGTCGGTCGACCGCCAGCTCTAAACCCTCATTACCTGAGTTTTTGAGCTCAGCGGTCGACCGGACCGATCGACCGCCGAGGTGTCAGAACCTTTGTAACGGCTAGTTTTTCTGTCTGTTTTCAATCTGGGTTTTTGGTCTTTTTACTTACTTTTTTCTATTGTATTGGGGTGCTATATATACCCCATTGCTGTTCTTCCTCTTAATAACTAAGAAATCCAAATTTGGTGTTTAAGAAAATATTGATTGTGTTTAAGAGCTGTTTAATAGTTGATTTCATCAATCAGTTTTTCAAGAGGAGTTTTTTTACAACAAGAAGTGGCATTCAATCCTATTAGAATCATCTCTACTGCTCTTCTTGTTTGAGAAGTCTTCTAAACTCTTTTATAGCTGATTATTTCATTTTCACTTCATTTAGCTATATCTATTGAGTTTGATTCACTGTTATCACACACACTTATTGAGCTTAATATTTTCATACCATATAGTGTGGGTTGTGGGGTGTGATTTAGTGAGTGTGAGCTTCATTGTGTTCTCACTTGTTATTTGAGAACAAATCATTGTATTTAACTCTTATTTGTGAGAATCACTTGTAATACACTTGGACACCGAGAGAAGTGTGAGGCGAGACACTGGGTCAAATCCAATAGGAGTGGCGTCGATTGACGAACCTAGGGAGAGGTTGTAATCGAGCACTTGAGGAGGAGGACACGGGGTAGGTTCCTACACTTAGTGTGTAAATTGTGATTGCATAGTATTTGTGTAGTGTGAGAGTTTTCGGTGATCTTGTAAACCGAGTGTGTAGAAGTTCCGGCTTCCAAACCGGATTGTGATAGTGGATATCTTCTCGAGGTGAGGAGCAGGGACGTAGATCATGGTGACCGAACCTCGTAAACATATCGTGTGTTTGTGTTTTGCTTAGCGTATATTTTAGTCATCATTATTGTTCATATCCATATCATATTTCTTCTTGCAAGATCAAATTAATCAACATAATTTTAATTAGCTTTTAATTAGAATTAGATTAGCAAAAGACCCTAATCACCCCCCCTCTTAGGTCTAACAATTGGTATCAGAGCTTGGTGCTCTTTGATTTAAGGACTAACCGTCTTGAGTTAAAGATCCAAGTTATTGCATTTGTGCTAATCTAATTTTGATTACATTGTGCTTCTTGCATATCATCTTTATGGATATGTATGATTCATCTTGCTTAGGATATGCTATTAATATTGCTACTCGTTTGGATATTTTTCCCTATGCTCAATGGCGTATTAGATTCAAACTTTTCGTTCAATCTAATCAATTTGAGTTATGGGAAATTATTGAGGATGCCTATGTTGTTCCCACTTTGGAAAAATCCAAATGGTGTGAGAATGATAAAAAATTGTTTAACATGAATAAGCTTTTGTTAGAATATTTGATTAACACTTTTCACTCATCGTTTTCTAACAAATTTGCTAATTTTGATAGTGCTTACGCTTTATGGAAACTTATTAAAGCACATGAAGGGAAATTGAAGGCTATTCAACAAGCGTTGGAAAATCCCGCTTTGAGTTCTAAGGAAGCCTCATCTCCATGTACAATACCACTAGGTGATAACCCTAGTAAGGTATGCGGTAACGATGATATTATTACTTTTGATGAACTTGCTCTTGAGTTTGAAAAATTACACAATTGCTATATTGATGTGAAGAGTAAGTATGTTAATATGAAATCCACTCATGAAACACTAGCTACTAAGTTTAATTTTATTGCAAATAAAAATATAATTCTTAAAGAATGCAATAAAAATTTGAAAATTAAAAATGCTAGTTTGCTTTATGAAAAACGTGATGCTATGTTAGAAGTAGATAAATTGAAATCTATGATGAGTAATCTTGTTTATCATAATTCTAGTAGCAATACTTGTATGCATAATGATGAGTTGAATCAAATGAGAAAACGAATATCTACCTTAGATTCAACACTAAACACTTGTATTGCTAATAATAAAAAGCTTATGGGCTTATGTGCAAAGTTCAATGTTAATTCTTCTAAGAAAACTATTCGCTATGCACATATGTATGACAAAATTCATAAATGTTCTATTTGCGGTCTTAAAGGCCATTTAGCTCAATTTTGTCATAATGCACCAAAAATTGACAAACCTATTCATGATTGTGCATCTCATCAAGCTTCTTCATCACATACACATGTACACACACATAGTGTAAATCACAAACATGCTTATGTGTACAAATGTGATTATTGTGGTCATTTTGGTCATTTGGCCATGTTTTGCTTCGATTTGAAAACAAATTCTTGTTTGCAAAATAATAACCACGTGCATTCTATTTCGATCAACGTAAACCATTCAAACCTCTACATTGCACAAATTGCAATCGTATGGGTCACGTTTATAATTTTTACTTTGATCATATCGGTGCACAAAATACACCCAAACAGGTTCATAACCCTAGGGCCTTAAATTTAAATGATAGGGGTCATGTCCCAAGCTCTAGTGGTACCAAACTGATTTGGGTACCAAAATAATTTTTACATTTTTTTTGTCTTTTTTTTGTTTTGTTTTGTTCTTATTTTGAATAATTAGTTTTTTGAGCTTTTAATGACAAATTGTATTCATTATGCTAAAATAAATTATTTGTTTGTTTTTATAATTAAAAACACTTACATATACCTTATAAAACTTTTAGTATATCATAAAACATATTTTCAAAAGGTCTAAATTGAAAAAACTCTCAAAACAAATTTTCTAAAATACCTGTCTTTTTCATTTTCTCGCGGTCGACCGACCCGGTTGACCGACGATCTCTCTGTAATCGTTTCGGTCGACCGCGTCGGTCGATCGACAGGAAATTACTGCAGCAGCTTTGTGTTTTTATCAGGTTTCGGTTTTTGTTACTGGGTATCTGTTTTGGACCCGAACTCTTAATCACCATTGAATCCATTATCCACTCAATCCCAGCCATTGTTCCCTCTCTCAAAACATCCGACTTCTCTTCTTCCTCCCAACTCAAAATCACAGAGCTAGGGTTAAAAAATCCGACTCTCTTCTTCGGTCGCCCGATTTGTTCAACCGCCGCTCTCTGTCGATTTCCATCAGATATTGTGGGTAAATTCTTCCTTTATCTTTTGATTTCTGCATTCTTATGTTCATATTCTCAATCTAGGGTTTCTATTTTAGGGAAGTTTTTAAATCTGCTCAAAATTTCTTTTTACAGGGGTTTTTTAAAATCATATCTCATATCTATCAAAACCCTAATCAACTATGCCTCCTAAAAAGAGATCAAAACCAGAGTCTAGTTCATCCTCTACAAAAGCTTCTCACTATGAGGATTTTTTTATTGTTTAAATCTCTTGTTAAGAAATATAGATAATTGTGCAAACTGAAAATTCTTCCAACTAGATATATCATATATCCTGAGTTATTCATGTATGACACGCAGTCTATCCTTCATAATGTTGGGTTAGATAGATTGCTAGATGAGGGATATAAAGTTCCTTTTTATCCTTTTTTAGTTTATCTGTTTTATGCCAACCTGTCCACATCATCCTCTGCTGATGGTAGTCTGACCATTACCTCATCTGTTAAAAATGTTGCAATAACCTTTTCTGCCAACGAACTTGTGGGGATTCTTAAAATCCCAACAGGTGACATTGATCTCATGTCTATTAAGCTTGGTGATCCGGCTGTAAACCAACTCATGTTTAAACCCAGCTTCTCTTATCCTATGAACAACAATTCTTTCAATCCAATTGCCAAACTCATTGCTAGAATCATTGCTCAAAACTTGATTCCTAAAACCGGTAGTTTCGATCACTTTGCCTCTGACAAGATAAATGTCGTATATGCCATATTTGCCAAAGTAAAAGTAGATTGGGCAACTGTTTTTCTCAATAATATGGCATCAAAACATACAAAATTTCTACCATTTGGCTCCTTTCTCACCCTCATCTTTCAACACTTCGATCACCAATGAACCCAAGATTGAATCTAAGAAGGATTTCTTTGATAAGGTTTCCCTTTCTAGAATGCAGATGTCCATTGACTCCACTCCTTCATCATCTTCTCGCTCCCGTTCTAGAGCCTCTACCTCTTCCACTTCTGATATTTGTGACCGTCTGGATCGCCTTGAGACTCAGTACTCAAGTGTTCAGAAGCAAGTCTCATCTATTCAGAGGGATGTTAGGACTATTCTTTCCGGACAATTCTTTCATATCAGCGTCAGTCTCTAGGGATTCCGGATCCCTCTTCTAGTTCTGAGTCTGATTCTGGTGAGGACCATGCTGATGGCTCAGGCTCTTCTGATGATGGTGATGATGATGGTGATGGCGATGGTGATGGTGATGGTGATGACTGATTTGAGTTCCTTTATGTGATATTCATATTTGTTTTGATGTTCTCTTCTAGGTTGTAAAACTTGATAACTCTGTTTTATTTGAGTGTAATAACTCTATGATGCTTTGAGGAACAAACTACATTTATGTCTGTTTTATGTGACCTTTTATGTTTTGTATATTTATGCACATCTATGATGCTTAAATGATGATTTGTGATTGTTTATGCTAGTTTATCCTTTTTATGATCAATGCATGGTTAAAACAATAATCATGTTTTGTTTGTAGAAATTGAGTTACTTATATTGTTTATGCATATGTTTGATGGATAATTATTGTTTTAGCTCCTATATATGTTCAATGGATGTCATTCAGTCAATTTGACAGGGGGAGCTTTTGGTATACATTTTTATTATCTGTGCTTATATGCAGGGGGAGCGTTGCTCCTAATTTGTTTCTTTTTTCCCTTTTTGATGTTGTCAAAGGGGGAGAAAATACCACATATGGTTTACAAATTGATTCTTTTTATATATGGTTCATGTGATCATTCATGTATGATTTATTCATGTTTGGCTTATATGTGGGTTATCAGTTTATATTTCATATTCATGTATAAATTGTTTGCCATCATCAAAAAGGGGGAGATTGTTGACCCTATAGTTTTGATGATGTTTTGGCAAACAATTTATTAATAAGTTCTCTAGTGTTTTGTGTTTATGTTCTTTTTTCAGGTATTTCAACACACGTCAATCAAGTGTTAAAGATTCAAGTTCATTTGTGTGGATTTACCTAGGTATATGTTTAGTTTACTTACATATATTGTATGATTATATCTAAGCTCAATATATGTACACTTAACACGTTTTTTGACGTTTTCTATCATATAAATGATTTTTCATCAAATGTTGTTACAATAACTTTTATCTCATGTTTACAGCTCTTTCGTACTTCATTATATACATATAATACATGCCCAATATATATATACATATTTACAAGTTCTATATCAACTTTCACTTTCTTAAAAAAACAGGTTTTCTAAGCATTTTTCAAAAACATGTAGTTTTTACAAACGAAAATTGATTTTCCAAAAATTTCTTTTTAAACATGTTTATTTTATCATTTAGAAACTTTTCCCAAAGTTTTACTATTTTTGGATTTGATTTAATATTTTTAACGAATTTTCAAAACTGCCCCAAAACTTGTCATTTTGCCAATATCAGTTTTTGGTCGACCGATCCGGTCGACCGACAGTGGTTTTCTGAGCTCATGCTCGTGGTCGACCGCACCGGTCGACCGAGAGAATATTCTGTCGACCTAATATTCCGTCGGTCGACCGCTAGCTCTAAACCCTCATTACCTGAGTTTTTGAGCTCAGCGGTCGACCGGACCGGTCGACCGCCGAGGTGTCAGAACCTTTGTAACGACTAGTTTTTCTGTCTGTTTTCAAACTAGGTTTTTGGTCTTTTTACTTACTTTTTGCTGTTGTATTGGGGTGATATATATACCCCATTGCTGTTCTTCCTCTTAATAACTAAGAAATCCAAATTTGGTGTTTAAGAAAATATTGATTGTGTTTAAGAGCTGTTTAATAGTTGATTTCATCAATTAGTTTTTCAAGAGGAGTTTTTTCTACAACAAGAAGTGGCATTCAATCCTATTGGAATCATCTCTACTGCTCTTCTTGTTTGAGAAGTCTTCTAAACTCTTTTATAGCTTATTATTTCATTTTCACTTCATTTAGCTATATCTATTGAGTTTGATTCACTGTTATCACACACACTTATTGAGCTTAATATTTTCATACCATATAGTGTGGGTTGTGGGGTGTGATTTAGTGAGTGTGAGCTTCATTGTGTTCTCACTTGTTATTTGAGAACAAATCATTGTATTTAACTCTTATTTGTGAGAATCACTTGTAATACACTTGTACACCGAGAGAAGTGTGAGGCGAGACACGGGGTCAAATCCAATAGGAGTGGCGTCGATTGACGAACCTAGGGAGAGGTTGTAATCGAGCACTTGAGGAGGAGGACACGGGGTAGGTTCCTACACTTAGTGTGTAAAGTGTGATTGCATAGTGTTTGTGTAGTGTGAGAGTTTTCGGTGATCTTGTAAACCGAGTGTGTAGAAGTTCCGGCTTCCAAACCGGATTGTGATAGTGGATATCTCCTCGAGGTGAGGAGCGGGGACGTAGGTCGTGGTGACCGAACCTCGTAAACATACCGTGTGTTTGTGTTTTGCTTAGCGTATATTTTAGTCATCATTATTGTTCATATCCATATCACATTTCTTCTTGCAAGATCAAATTGATCAACATAATTTTAATTAGCTTTTAATTGGAATTAGATTAGCATAAGACCCTAATCACCCCCCCTAGGGTCTAACATATACTGGGCAATCCGTACTTATAGGATAGATATGCGATCTACGAGAGGCGGGCTCAGAAGTACATCTGCACTAAGGATTGTGAAAAGTTCATATTTCGTTCGGTATCTCTTCCGAGGGAGACAAGCTTGGGGACGGTGACGCGAGCGAAGAGACTAGTGAATGCAAGCAAGAAGTTTGTCTCGCTATGCATTAGACTTCCAAAAAAGCCATCGATAAAGGATTACAACTTGAGGTGAATGGTGATTACGACGATACGCGGGATGGATGAGATGGTTCCGATCGGACGTCGAGACCAGGTTCCTAGCAGGGCCAGATGGTGCAGACAAGATGGAGGAGCTCGAGAGTTTCCTCAACAAAAGTTCTAACTTGAACGGGACTTCAAGTTCCTAAAGAGGGGACCAATGATACGGGTGTATCTTCTCTTCGGGAGCTTAGCGATCCTCATGGGAGCTTTAGAATAGATGATTCTCATGATAGCATGAGAATAAGGGTGTAAAACAATACAATGGAATGCAGGTGGAAGCGTGGAACGAGATGACGAGCAGCAGATTCGAGGAATCTAGATTTCAGCATATGAGTCGACTCATACATGTACATGAGTCGACTCATCAGGTTGAGTCGACTCATGTCTGTCATGAGTCGACTCAAGAACTCAAGCCCTGTTAGCAAAAAGTCTCTGACCAGTCGACTCATCAGTTATGAGTCGACTCATATGAGGTCATGAGTCGACTCATAACTGTTCATGAGTCGACTCATCGAAGGTTTCCTAGTTCGTTTGGGTTTTTGTTCACATGTTTTCCTGTTGGGTTTGGGCTTGGTTATTTACCAGATTGCCATCCATGTTTGTACACCTATATAAAGGGTTATTTAGGGTTTCTAAATAGAAGTTGATCATCTTAGAGAAGAGATCTTAGATCAGAGAGAAATTCTAATCATTGTATTAGGGTTTAGAGAGGATTGAGAGGTTGTTCTCGATTCTAGTGAGATTATGAGGGAGAGATTTGTAATAATTAATTCTTCATAATCTAAAGAAGGTTTTTTTTTTGCCATACTGAATTGTTTTTGTGTTTTCGTTGTCTTCTTCTCAACCCACCTTTTGGTAATTCCGCGACCAAATGGTGCTCACACGGTGACTCGTATCAAAATACCCCCAACCGAAGCCTATAAATATAGGCCTAGGGACTCATTTCATGATCTGGAAATGAAGGGGGCGAGGTGCTGTCAAAATTAAGAGTGGAGCCACGAATTTTAGAGGGTTAGCAGATCTTGGCGAAGTTTCTCCATAAACAAAAATAGAGTTCGAGAGATCTGAAACCCCTTTCCCTCATATTCCCCTGGATTTAAGCTTGGTCTTAAATCCCGAGAAGAGATGTAATCTCGCTTGGTTGGGATTACCACTTCAGCGAATACTTCCTTCGTGAAGTAGAAGCTTTGATTTTCAATCTGTCAACCGAATCTGATCCGTGACGGTCCACGGATATCAACGTCCACTGCTGCATTTTCCACTTTTAGCGACGGACGAATCCGTCGCTATAAGTCGATATTCCGTCGCTAAATCTTTTAACGACGGAAAAAATAAAATTCTGTCGCTAAAAGTTCGACGATATTACAGGGGTACCTAAAAAGGCTTTTAGCGATGGAAATTCCGTCGCTAAAAGTTAGCGACGGCTTATTAGCGACGGCGTAATAGTCGCTAATTTAAAAAATAAAAAAATAAAAAATAAATTAACGATGGATTATCCGTCGCTAATAATTCTTTAGCGACGGGTAATCCGTCGCCAAAACTTTATTAGTGACGTCACTTACGTCGCTAATATTTTTTTAAATTAGTCAGCTAAGTTTTCGTGCATGTTTTCCATCGCTAAATGAACATTTAGCGACGGAATTTCCGTTGCTAAAATCAATTTTAGCAACGAAATTTCCGTCGCTAAAAGTTTAAAAAAAGAAATTTGGAAAATAATTTAAAAATTGAAAAAACCCTGTACAATATTGATAATAATTTTTAAAAACCTATTCAATAAGCAGTATAATATTCAATCTCACGCAAATATCACATCTTACGCATATATCACACATTTAATTCAATAAAAGCAAGTAAAAGTTTCTCGAGTACATAATAAATATTGTTTATACAACACGAGAAATTGTTTTCAAAGTTATATTAAGGACAATCAATCCTCCTAATCATCATCATCCTCATCCTCAACACCAGCCGCATTATGACTACCCCCGGCTACACCTTGTGAAGAAGTCCCGGCCTGTAAATATAAATCAAATGTTAACAAGTGTGTAAACGTTAATAAGAGTGCAAATATAA